CCTACTACTATTGTGTTTAACGTTAAATTAAAATAAGGTACTTCCACAGATTTAGAATGATATTTACAAGAGAAAAAATGATTTTTAAAAATGAAATGAGAATGTTATAAATAAGGAATGACTAATGTTTTACTGTTCTTTTCCTTTTGCCTTGAATGTTTTTGTCATGTTTTTTGAAGATAAAAAAAAAAAAAAAAAAAAAAAAAAGGTTATACAGCAACATAAAATGCTGTCAATGCGAACAAGTATTATACCTGTACTAAATTTCTCCACATGAAAGATAATAATTTTTCAAAATAGTACACATGAAAAAACAATAATAATGTTATTTTGTCAGTTTTGCACTTTGGGGATCACACAGAATTGTGTTTGAAATGAGTTAATCTTAATACATCAACAATTTCATTACTTTATTATTTTTTTTAAATTTCCCTTGTGGAAGGACATTACAAAAAATACCTCAATCAAAAAGATGAATTGTAAAACAAAATTAGGTCATACAGCAAAAAACAACTTTTATCATCCCCTTACTAGTTGAACGGTCTATGCAAAATCATTTTATGTTGTACCCCTGACAATGATAAAAAAGTAATTTCAACAGAAATTCCATTGATTCAAAAAAATCTTAGTTATTATGTTAGATAATTTATTCATGCAAAAGGGGACCCCAAGTCTTCCACTAGTCGCAGGGGCTTTTTGGAAATGGGCTCATTCTTCCGCACTTTCACAAGCAAGCACATTTTTACTAATATAATATTGCTTCCCTGAAGTCAGCTGGCCTGAGTATCACCACAAGCAACAAATTAATTATTAGATGTGTTAAGTGTTAAGAAAGCTCAGTAAACCAGATCTTCCAAAAATGGTTCTCCCACTTTGGGACCATGTTAATTGAAAGTAAAACCTAGAGCTAATGTGTAAGGTATAAATATACAATGAAACAGGACAATCAACAATTACTTTTTACTTTACCCAATTACTTATACAAAACGACATTATGAAACATTAATTAACTGTATGAGGCGACATTAGGAGTAGATGCACACCAAATTCCCAATGGCAAATAGAGTACTACGCTTTTATGTCACGATACCAAGTGATACTAATCCGTTGCTATCAGCAACCTAAAATGCGGTCAACTGGATCCACTGTCTCCACTGACAAACCATTGATCTCAATTTCTAACGTAATTATTTAGATGTTGTATCTTTATTTTTTTTTTTGTAAATTTTAATTGATGATTAAATATGCATTTGATAACTAATATAATGCGAGCTTTTGTGTTTTAGTACATTTTGATGGTAAATTACTGGGTTTTAAAATGCCTTTTCCAGAAAGCCTATTCTAAACCATTAAGATTATGAAGTCATGCAGGCGTAACCAACGTCTAGTTGACAACAAATGGCGGCACATGGTGTAGTGACGACACGAGTGTTGTACTCTATACTGATGTAAAAATGTAAACAGAAATATCTTTAATTACTGTAGGTCGATAAAGCATCGTCATCAAACTTCAAATGAAGCCTGAACTATTTCCATCAAACTTTAAGTGTCTATAAGTGAAGAAGGTCACAACAAAAAAGATGTGAATGCCTTATCAAGTAATGACACTCATTTATACTACTCTCTTGAATGTCTATTTCAAACTTAAATTCTTGTTGAAATACTTCATGTTGCTTGCACCGAGTTGACCTCTTCTCTTATTTCTTCTTCTTCTTCTTCAATGAGCGTCCGTACAATTGGTTCACGAGAATGTGCTAACCAGTTAGGAATTATTTTCCCATGAACACGCCATGCGCCGTATACATTAACCAGGCGTTTTTCAAAGACTATGTATTCAAGAACGTCTTTTGGAATCGTCTCGCTACCAATCATTAATCTTCCAAAACGATCGTAAATTGCAAGCGTCTGAAATTAAATACAGTTTTTCTTCAACAATATGATATAGATATTTATATAAAAAGATTTACTAGGTTAATAAATTGAGAGGAAAACTGTACACATTGTCATGCATGAGTGGTTTTATTAATAATATGTGTTACTGCTCTTTAGATGTTAAAGTCAGATATATGTGTTAAAAGAGTGGGTGGAGAATAAAAATTTTATGTACAACATATTAGACCCAATTTTAAGTAAAAAATTTATACTCATTTAAAAAAAAAAAAACGACACAAAAACAGACATGAGCATTTAGAAACCCTTTGAACACATACTTGGCCAAAAATAAAAACAAGCAGCTTACTAGTACTTTCTATAGCAAAAGTTCTTAGTAGACATAGCAGGCCCGTAAGCAGGGGGGTGCGGACACCCCCCCCCCAAATTCTAAAAGGTCCACTTTTTTTAAATCGTTCCTAATTATCACAAAATGCTATAGCATGCATTGCTTATATATTTGCCAGCTTATCTAATTGATTTTTAATAATATGGTATGAAATTTGTTAGAAATTGATCGTCTCCGGTGATTGCAGATTGATCTATATAATATGAAAAATGTTATCTATAGGCCTGCAGATGTACAGGACATAATAACTTTATTTTTTTCAGGTCCCAAATACACCCAAATTAATGAAAAATTTAATGAAATATTCAGGAATTATGTGTTTGAGAAATCTATTATGTAAGACCCTCAAAATGCTACTTTGTCACTTTTTTTCACAAACCCCCTCTAGGCCTCTGCCCCTGGACCACCAAATTTCAAAAAGTCCACTTTTTAAAACCTATTATTTTAATAAAATCGTTCCTAATTATCATGAAATGCTATAGTATGCATTACATTTTTTGCCCGCCATTCTACCCGTTGATTTTTAAAATAATGTGCTACGAAATCTGTTGGAAATTATCAGCTCCAGTGATTGTAGGCCTACAGATGTAAAGGACATGAAAAATTATAATTTCACAGTGGTGGATTCAAGGGAAAAGGCCCCCTAAAATTATAAAAGAAATGGAGAAAAAAGAAAAATCATAATTAAAGTTTATCTGAGAGTGCCATTTCCAGCCACTTTGAGGTGCCATAATCATAAATTTTCTTACCTCAGCCCCAACCTGGGGCTGAGGTGGTATTGACCATCTGTCTGTGCAAGTTTCTCCCTTCACCCCACCCTCTATTTCTCCTGCTTTACTGTAGGTCCCTAGACAATACTCATGAATGAAAATTTAAATAGGATATTACAAATTATGGATTTTAGAAATCCATTAAAAAAGGCCCTCAAAATGCTAATTTGTCAGAGCTTCCAGAAGATTCGCCCCACCCCCGCGGGGATCCCTAGGCAGTCGCCCATCGTAAAGTTCACTTCGGTTGCAAAACGCGCCTCCCCATCGAAAATCCTGCCTACAGGCCTGCATACTCTATATTTTTAACATACTTGAAATTGTCAAAGGGCGGGCGGCAAGATCACAAAACAAGGTATAAAAAATATCTTGCCTAAAAATTAAATTATAAAATTAAAAAGGCAATGGAGTCAGCCAACCTGTGACTAACAATCTAAACCATAAATCAATTCTGTATTTTTTGTATCAAAATATTTAATAACGAATATCTAACAATAATAATAATAATAATAATAATAATAATAATAATAATAATAATAATAATAATAATAATACAAATTTAGTAGTGCGTCAATTCCAAAGAACAATGATCAAAGGCGTATGCTAGAGCTAGATGTTAAAGAGGTGAGTTTTCAGGGAAGTACATGATCTTACTGAAAGAGGTAAATTGTTCCAGAGATGAACAGCAGCAGATGTAAAAGTGCTCAGGCCATAAGTTTAGTATTAAATGATGGAACTGAGAGAAGGTTGTGGGAGAGGAAACGAAGGTGACGAGATGGAAGGTAATGAGGAAGAAGTTTAGCAAAATATGGGGGAAGCTTAAATAAAAAGCTTTAAAAGTTAATAAAAGTGTTTTAAACATAATGCGTCTTGTCGAAAAGAAGCCATTGGCGAGTACGAATTACTGAGGTAATTCTGTTTATTATCAAAACTCGTAATGGTAAACACATCAAAAAGATGTCGTTAGATTGCAAATGTTACAACAACACAACCTACAAATCATTACAGCCCGAATGATGTTCATAAATATGTTGATGGCAAAACAATTAAGTTTTGATGGGCATACCATTACAAATTGTGATAATTAATATATGAATATCCAGACATGAATATCTTTGAAAAAATTAGGTCAGAGTCAAAAGACATTTCCAAAATTTTCCTATGAATACCGTAGACCAGTTTCAAGATTTGCACTGATAAATACTAGAAAGTAATTTTATTGCAGACCTTCTCTAAGCTTTGACAAATTTTATTTGACAAAAACTTGTGACATGCCTAAATATGGTCATGATGCATGGGCAGATCCAGAGATGTCCAAAAAAAAGGGGGGGGGGGAAGGGCGCAAAAGTGGGGCCGATCGAGATAACACCATCCCCGGAATGCCCTGCGAATTTTTGTTTTCTAGACGCCCGAAAATAACCTCTGAGGTATTTTTTCTTTTTCTTAAAAAAATTTTTTTTTTTTAAACTTTCCAAAATAGGTGGGGGGTAAGGGTGGGAGTCTGGGCTGACTAGCAGTTCCCCCCCCCCCCATTAAATTGAATAGCTCATTGAAAAATATCAAAAAACTTATTAACTTCCAACCAGAAAGAGGTCAAAATAAATTAGTTTTGCTGATTTACATACATTTTACGACAAAAAATCCTTAAATTGATTACCAGTCAATTTAAGGATCTATGTAAAAAAATACAGAAGATCTATTATTTATATGTCCATTTAATTGACAGGGAAATGTTTTTAATTTACATAGAATACAAATTACACAATTGAAATATTGAATTGAATCTTCCAAGCCTATGACAGGCAGTATAGCATTTGTGATCGGCTCTGGCAAAACACACTTCGTTTGTCGCAATTTTGAATTTTGAACATTTTCATGTTTTTGCATTTTATAAAAGAAGATATATTGCAGTACAGTTAATAAAGTTATAGTGGTAATATATTTTAATAATAATTGCAATAATGAATAATGATATGGAACTAATTAATAATGAAGTAGCTTATTTTTTTTAAGTGGTTGTAAATATATATTTTTATACTGTTTGAATTTATATACTGTATATTGTAGTCTAATTAATTTATTGGTTAATGAATTGTTTTTTATTTTATTTTTTTTAAATTAATAATGATGGTGTTTGTAATTTGGTGATTTTAAATGTAATTTTTTGTTGTTTGTAATCTTGAATTTTTTGTAGTACAATAATTTCAGACTGGTTCTGCGTTTTGTATTTTACCATACACCAGAATAAAATAAAATTAAAAAAAAAAACATTTCTGCAAAATCTCAATCACTTGATCTAACTGAAAAGTATATTAAAATTATTTTTAAAAATACAAATCTTAATCATGAACTAATGATTTGGAATCTTTGGAAGCCGATTTCTCAAAAATATGGCTGATATCCAATGAATTAAATATTCATAACTTCGCTAATACTCAACTGTTTTCCATCAAATAAACACTGTTTTAAAAGACTGCATACAGAATCTAAAAATACCAAAAACTCAATTTTGAATTTTTCCTACAAATGGTTGGTTTTGCCAGAGCCAGTCACACATACAAATTTTGTTTTAGCTGTCAGTCATCCATGGTCCCTATCAAAATAAAACAACATATAAAAGCTTCTTCCTTCTTTTTTTTTTACAGAAATCATGGACAATCAAATGTCCTTTAATATATTTTTTTTTGCTGATTTATACAAAATTGTGTAAAAATATGTAGAGTATAAAAAGTACAGGAATTTAATGATTATACAACACATACCTGTTTAGTGTGCATTCTCACAGTGACTTGTCCATACAAGTTACCCTTGGAAAGCATATCTGTAGTGCGGATATGTACAACCTTTGGTTTCTCTATTGATTCAACCAAATTCCAACGAATGGTTTTATATCTGAAGCCTGAGATCATATCCTACAATTAAACAATTTACACATTTGTAGCAGAATAAAGAAATAGACCATTTAATGGGATCAAAACTAGAAGATAAACTCAAAAAAAAAAAAAAAC